TTTGTTTCAACCCATACAATGATCGCCGAAGACGACATACTTTCCCGGACTCCCCCTGAGCAACAAACCTATGAGGTTGCTCCATGTACACCTCTTCATGAAAATCCCCATGCAAAAAGGCATTCTTGATATCAAACTGATGCAAAGGCCAATCATGAATGGCAACCATTGAGATGAGTAACCTGACAGAAGTAAGCTTGGCCACAGGAGAAAAAGTGTCAGAATAATCAACTCCATAAGTTTGGGCATATCCCTTAGCCACAAGACGAGTTTTCAATCGAGCTACAGACCAATATGTCTTTTACCCATTTACAACCAATATGTCTTTTACCTACAAGTAGGGGTGAGCATCGGTCGGTTATCGGTTAATAACCGAAATAACTGAAAAGTCTACACCCTTCGCATAACCGACCGAAATAACTGACACACATCTCATAACCGAACCGACCGAAAACCGATAATTTTGGTCGGTTATTTTTAACCGAGCTTAATTACCTAACGGGCTGAAATTTCTTTAAAAAATTAGTCTAAAACAAAAATTTAACCACTAAAAATAAATTACTAGTTAAAACAATCCATCACATGAAAATTTCAAAATCAAATGTCTAAAGTTGCAATGTCCAGTTGTCCACAATCCAAAGTCCAAACACAATATTAAAACTTAAAAGTACAAATTAGAATATAATACTTAATAAGCAATTAAAATTACAACCCCAAGTCTCCAAATGATCTCAATGCCAAAATAAAAGTAAATTATGTAATGCTCCAATTCCTCCAAATAGCTCACTGCCACTGTAAAGTAGAGTAATGCTCCAATTTCTTCAATGTGCCAAGTTTCAGACTTCCATAGACCATAGTGCTCACTGCTCACTGCCAAAGTGCATAATTTCAAACATTAATAACTAATAAAATGTAGCAAAATCTAAACAAAGCAAAATTCTAATATTCTATAGTGCTCAGTTGTTCACTATCATAATAGTGCTCACTGCTCACTGTCAAAGTGTCAATACGTAAACAAAGCAAAATTTAAAACACTAATAAAATTATATTTTACCTATTTCTTCAATTGATTTGGACTTCTTAATTCTTATGAGTCGATCACAGCATCCAAACTAAGCTTTGTCAAATCTAAAAACACATCACAAATTACAATAAGGTTAAATCATAAAACATAGCATATTATGATTTATGAAATATGAACTATAAAATAAATACAAATATAAAGTAAAACATACCGAGGTCAAACTTATCCATTTCAACAAGTTCATTCTCCATGTCATCCTCACGGACCTCACGTGTTCCTTGTCTTATCCAATCTTGAGTACAAATGAGTGCTTGCACTATTTTCTGTATTCTTCCAATAACTCAACCATTGCACTTCTAACTTTAGCAGACAACACAGAAGCTTGATCTTTCAATTGATCCACAGGATACATCTTTTTAAAACAAAAATCAACAAAAGTATATTTGTATCTAGGATCAAGTACACATGCAATGTAAAGCAACATATTCATTTTCTCCACATTCCCCCAATACTTGTCATACTTTTCAACCATTCTTTTAGTCATTGCACTAAACTCAGAATCAGGATTTTTCAACCAATCACGTAAAGTAGAGTAAACATCACAAACTTCATCAAGATAAACATTGGCAGTGATATACAAAGAACCAGAAATCTTCACAGTAAGATCATAGAAATGTTGCAAGAACATGCTTAATCTCCCAACACTTTTCCAATCATCACTATTTAGAACACCATCACCAAATAAGAGGTCATGTCTATAATTACGGTCAACTTCTTTAAATCTCTCAAATTCCCTCTCAAACTTTTGAGCTGAATCTAACATAAGGTAAGTGGCACATCTAATCTCAACAAAGCTTTAGATCGGATCTTTTTCATCTCAACACATTCTTTAAATTTGTGCAATCTAGATGGTGATTGCCTCACATACCTTACAGCTCCCCTAACTTTAGCAATTGAATCATTCATATCCTTCATCCCATCACTGACAATAATGTTAATGATATGTGCAATGCATCTCATATGAAGATATTTCCCTTGTAGGATACTAGTACCCAAATTATTCAACTTTCTTCTTAAGTACCCTACGGCAACATCATTAGAACTAGCATTATCAACCGTAATGGTGAAAACATTATCAATGCCCCAATCACGCAAACACTTTTCAATTGCTTTACCCACATCCTCACCCTTATGACTTGTAATTGGACAAAAGTTAATTATCCTTTTATGCAATTTCCAATTATTATCAATGAAATGACATGTAAGACACATGTAATTTACCCTTTGCAATGATGTACAAGTATCTGTGGTGAGTGACACTCTAAAAGAATGAGAATGCAATAAAGTATTCAAATTTTTCTTCTCATCCAAGTAAATATCATAGCAATCCCTAGCAATAGTCCAACGAGAGGGCATTTTAAATCTAGGACAAGCAATAAGCATACATTTTCTAAATCCCTTTGCTTCCACAAACTTGAAGAGCAATTCATCTTCAATAATCACTTCAGCTATAGCCCTCCTAAGAGCTTCTGCACTATATTTCCCAAAACTTATTGAACTCTCCCATTAATTCAGTTTGTGCGGGATCAGAACTACTACGTCGGAATTTAGAACAACTTTTTACATGAGCTTTCAATGAACTAGTCCCATTCATTTTAGTGTCTGCAAAAAGCTCTCTTTCACAATAATTGCACCTAGCTTTCTTATCACCACTCTCATTAATGAACTTATGGAAGTGATCTCATACCTCCGAACTTGGTCGTTTAGCTTTCGATTTACTCATTTCAACCCAGTACTTGTAGTTGTTCCACCAGTTGTACTAGCAGCGTGTGCTTTTGCCCTTGTCCCTTTTCCTTTCACAATTGAGTCTGAATCTGTTGATTCTGCTGATACCTAGTAAAAGCAAAAATAAAAATAAAATTTGTTATTCAAATCTGTAAATTTTGAACACATATTTGATATTCCACTTGGTTCATACTTCATACTAGATGTAAATTAATTTAAATCAATCTATAAGTTAATACTAGATTTTATATTTACAAATTTGTAATTTTATATTTCCAATTAGTTCATACTAGATTACTGCATCTCTAGATTACTAGATTATAGATACATCATACACATACACGCATACTGCATAAAATAAACACAAATATAAAATTACTACATACATATTATTATATTAACATATATATTAAATTATTAATTTTAGATACATGCATATCCATATTAGCATTACTGCATACATATTAAATTATTAACACATATATTTTGTAATTAATACATTCTGATACAGAATAAAATGATTTCAGCCCCAAATTGTTAAATGCATTCACATAAAATTATTTCATAACCCTAGTCCCTAGAATGGTAGAACCAGAACACTACCTGAGCTATGGGCTATGGTATATGGAGATTGAGAGAAGTAGAGAACTTACACTATCATTTGAAGGAACAAGACTCGACCGACTTGTTGCAGATCGACCAGACTGAAGGCGAAGCTTCTTCTTAATGAGACTCATGGCGAGAAGTGAACGGCAACGTCGCAGCCTCGCAGTCGCAGGTAGCAACGGCTGCAGAGTCACAAGTAAAGGCGAGAGCCGAGAAGTGAAGACTGAAGAGTGTTAAAGTGATGTCTAAAAATGAATAAGGGATTTAGGGCTAAGGGCTTATCTCCTTTACTTCTTTACAGTTGTACACACTACACACTACTAACGTGTTTATTTTAATATTTTATACTTTAAATATTATTGGGCTAATATAAAACAGATTTAGTCGTGGGCTTCTTCCTTGGTTTTTCAGTCGGTTATTTTATTTTTTGCCCAAAACCAATAGCCGACCGAAAAACTGAAATGACCGATTTTTTTATAGGTAATAACCGATAACCGAAATTTTCGGTCAGTTCGGTTATCGGTCATCGATTTTTCGGTTGGTCCGGTTTTTTTACTCACCCCTACTTGCAGGCATAGTGACCAACTCCCAAGTACCATTGTGATCCAAAGCATTCATCTCCTCAATCATGGCATTTCATCGCCTAGGATGGGACAAAGCGTCTTTAACAGTTTTTGGAATTGAAATAGAATCAAGGGAAGCAATGAAAGAACACGAGACATGTGACACCCTATCATATGATGCAAAAGAGGAAATAGGATAAGTACAACTATGTTTACCTTTCTAGAGAGAAATCGAATGCTCATCAGCTAAGACTGGATAAGATGACACAGAGGTGGTGTCAGAGCATTGAGCTGGTACCGAGTTCGGAAGGGAAGCGGGAGGCGGTGCCAGAACGGGTGCGTCAGGCCGAGGTCGACGAGAATACACTTGTAAGACAGGATGGGTAGGAACAGAGATAGGAACAGAAGACGTGACCGTATACATCAAGATATCATCCTCCTCCCCTTGACGAACAACATCTGGAGATGAAGGAAATAAAGGGATATCCTCATGAAATGCAACATCAATGGAAACAAGGTACCTACCAAGCTCAAGAGAGTAACACCTATACCCCTTTTGCACACGAGAATAACCAAGAAATATGCACTTCAAAGATTTGGGATCTAACTTGGTGACATGGGGACAGACATCCCGAACAAAGCATACGCAGCCAAATATATGCGGGTCAATATGGACAAAGGCTTTGAAGGATACAGAGTATGGAAAGGTGTTTTCCCATCCAAAACCGCAGAGGGCATGCGATTGATCAAAAAATAGGCTGTGGAAACAACATCAGCCCAAAACTGCTTGGGAACCCCCATTTGAAACATCAAGGCCCTTGTAGTTTCAAACATATGTCGATTTTTGCGCTCAGTGACCCCATTCTGGGCAGGTGTGTCTACACAAGATGACTGATGTAACATTCCTTTCTTAGGCATATAAGAGACAAAGGGGTACGAAAAATATTCTTTAGCATTGTCACTGCGTAAAATTTTGACAGGAATACCAAATTGGTCTCAATTTCAACGCAGAATCCACAAAACACATCAAATAGTTCAGAACGAGACTTCACTAGATATAACCATGTCATTCGAGAAAAATCATCAACAAACGTAACAAAATACTTAAACCCAAGTTTAGAGGTCACATAACACAGACCCCAAATATCAGAATGTACTAACTCAAAAGGAGCAGTTGCTCGTTTGTAAACTCTAGGACTCAAAGGCACACGATGGTGCTTGGACAACTGACACAACTCACAATGTAAAGAAAACAAACTTGAAAACTGCGGACACAATTTCTTCAATAAGGGAAGGGAAGGATGCCCCAAACGACAATGAGCTTCTACTGGAGTGACAGCACCCGAACAAGCAATAGACCCCAACCTCGTGGTGTCAAGAACGTAGACGCCCCCAGACTCGCGCCCCTTACCAATAACCCTCTTCGTCAAAAGATCCTAAAGCAAACAATAATCATGGAAGAACGTAACAAAACAGTTTAAAGCACGGGTAAGCTGGCTGACTGAAATTAAGTTGAACGAAAAGTTAGGTAGATGCAATACAGAAGACAAGGGGAGCGTGAGCATTGGCGTAATGGTACCGGACCCAAGAACATGGGAAGAAGAACCATATGCTAAGGTGACAGGGGAACTATGTGGACGGGAAGAAAGCGTGGAAAACATACTAGAGTTACCTATCATATGATCTGTGGCACCCGAGTCTATAACCCATTTGGATGAGGATGAGAGAAGGCACGTGGTTGCGTTACCTGAGTCACCAATAGCAGTGACTGAAAAGGATAAACGTTTTAAAGATTCTTGATACTGAGAGGACTTGGCAAACTTATCAGCAGATACCGTGATCATTTTGGAAGATGTCTCAGGTGTGGATGCAACATTAGTGATGTTATCACATCTTTGCTTGTTATTATAGTTATTTTGAATCATCTTAGTATTTAAGTTCTTTAATTTTGCTTATTTAATACATATTTTCCTTGCTATTATCATTTAATTATGGTTCACACTTGTTTCGAATGTTTTACGGTGTTTGTTAGTGTTTTTGAACCATTGTAGGTCAATTCTATGAGTAAGGGAAGTTCAAGGATGAGTTTGGAGCAATTTTGGACAAGTTCGGGGACCAGAAGGCTCGACGCGTCGAAAATTTCCAGAATGTTTTTGTGATCGAGACCTGCTGGTCTCGACGCGTCGAGCGAGGCGCGAAGTCGCAACTTAATTACAAAAGGGCGTTGGCTTCAGCACCTTCAACTTCCAATTTCTTTATTTAAATATAGGAATTATAATTTGAGTCCAATTTTGTACAAGATTCCTATTTCATCTCAACTTTGTACCCACTATAAAATCCCTTCTTCCTCAACCCTAACAACAGAGACCGGGGGAGAGACGGAGAGAATTCAGAGATTCTTGGAGACAAGAAGGAGAGAAATCAAGAGCCACAAGTTGTCTTGGAAAGCAAGAAGAAGACTAGGGAGATTTGGGAAAATCGTCTGGTTAATTCTTGTACTCTTTTGATGACTTGTAATTCTTTATTCATATTTGCTATGTATAATTTAGTCATGCTTGGCTAAATTCTTTAGAGATTCTTGGGTAAAAGTGTTTAAGAACCTATGTGCCTGAGCTCTCAGTTTCTTTAATATATTATTATTTGGGTTTAATACTTGTGTTGCAATCGTGATAATATTGTTTGATGCTTGTAATCAATGGCCATAGTTACTAGCTTTATAGCCATGTTTGTGTCACCAATGGGAGTTGGGGCATAAATTAGGGCACACACGATTGCACCTAATGGTTGGTCCTTGGGAAAGGGGAACTTATTAGGGGAAGTTTATTCTAGATTATTGCTCATCGGGAGATGGTAGTAATTAGGAATAATTGAATGCTGATCTTTGATCTTATTGGGTGTTTAAGCCATGGGAGTGGAAATTCACTAGGAATAGAGATTACGGGAGTAATTCGATTCCACTTTGCATTCCCACACAAATCTTAATTCCAAACTAAATATTGCAAACGATAATGGGCACTAGGTGATTAAATACTTAATCCCATGAATCTCAACTTCTCTCTAATTGTTTTCAAAATCCTGAACCTCTGTTTTATTTTATTTATTTTATGCCAATCAATCATCTAAGTAATTGTTAGGATTAGCTCTAATGAATAAGTTAGTAACTAGTGGTTGATACAACCACTTCCCTGTGGATCGATAACTCGTACTCCGAGAATTATTTGTTTGCAAATATACTACGCATCAATTAGCAGTCGGATTTCCCCGTTCCCTCAACCATTTCCTACAGTCCCTTTTTATGTGTCCAGGCTTATGGCAATAATGACACACAATACCGCCAAAAGTGTGTCCCTGGGAATTTTTTCCATGCCCACTGCGAGGATGACGACCAACGAGAGCATTGCTTGGTGGGATGGTAGCTTCAGGCATACTTGGTTGTGATTGCACTGATCGACTCAGACGTGGGAAAACATCAGCAAGAGAAGGGATTACAGAGCTACTAAGAATTGTGGACCTCGTTGTGTC